GGGTAAAAAGCTCTTTATAAGGATCATTCGTAAGATCTACATTCACTACGACTTTGTTTTATTCTAACCAACAGATGAACCTCTTTGGCCAGAAGGAGCGTACTCCATTACGAAGCCATTGTCAGGTTGTCCTTCAGGATGGACTGAAAATGGCTATCTATTTCAAGACACGCTAGACACAGCCACAAATAACAAGTCATCTTCACTTCACATTGACGGCGGCGTTTCTAAACGATATGTAGTTCGATGGTTTTGCCTGAAAAAGCAATGGACATCTCCGAAATGGCCACAAGGTGTGTTTCGCCACATGACACGGAATCAGGATTCCATGAACAATTGTGCAAGGATTCTTGGTTTCACAATTGGAATTCGAAAGCAAAGTATCCTAGCTTTTTTTAGTTGTCAGGGACTCATTAAGAATTAGGAAACATTTGAAGTCAATGATTTGGAATCTTGTTTTATCGGATCCTGTTTCTATGCCACGTTCTTCCAGATTCCAAGCGTCTGGATTCCGCACTCCACAGCCAAAATTTTGTCAGATTCCAGATTCCGTGTCATTGAGGGACTAGTATTATGATTAGCGTTGTTAATATAAAGAAGGTTTTTTTCTATTTTCCCATTGAATATAATCTGTTTACAAAGGAAAGTACTGTATGTACAGAGAAGGTAAYACAGACCCAAAGAACGTACAAAGAGGAACATTGAGAATGTACACCAAGCGAGCGTCTGCAGCCTTGCAATCCCGAACAGGGATATATGTATACTCTTCAAATAAATGGTATATATCACGCTTTTCCTCGTACTGTCAAACTACTGGTGTAAAATCAGTCCCCATTGATCTTCCAATATCTCAGCCTTTCTATCTACTGCCCTACGGTTCGCYCGAGTGTCAGCAAGTTAAGTGGATGGTAGCAACGAGGGAATGGATTCGCTATGGGACTAATAATTATCAAGGCGGTGGCTGGAAAAGCGGGTCAATTTCTTACGTGAATGTTGGCACGCAAAATAATCCAGGAATAACAATGCACTATTGTTACTATCAAAGTAAGTAAAATCTTTTCAGCCATGATGATTTAGATAACAAATTAACCAAATTTGTAGTACGGAAACGCGCTTATATAATGTCATCCACACAAATGTATATTTTATAATCTTCAGAAAACTCTTCATTTCAATATTGCTACTTTACTAATCCCGTTTATTTCACATTCTACCATTTCTAATCCTATTTYGTTCATTTATTSAGGCTGCAACCGAACGTTGAACGACACAAAARGTGTGTTCCAGTCCCCTCGTTATCCWGAMAAGTACCCGGATGGACAACTATGCTCCTGGAGGATTCTGGTCCCTGTCAATCACACTCTCATTGTACGGTTCACAAATTTTTCGCTTCACACAGATYTCTCAACAGTTGCAGATGTTTTGCAGGTATACAGRTTATCAAAGAACAAATTTCAAAGAAACCAGACTTATACAGGCGTTCTGAAGGCGTTCTCCATAGTGTCAACCAGKGATTTGCTGTTTGTCTTTCGTTCAAATGATGCTATCAGTGATTTGGGTTTTCGTGCAGAGTACGAAGTTCTCGGTGTATCCCAAGGTATGATATATCCTGCATTTGATCAGGTATTGTTACTCATCTTGTTTTGAAATTTTGAATTTTCGGCACTAATGACGTCATGTTTGTTGGGGCGAAATGCATCATGGGTTAACGTCTGGATTCCCCCCACCCCACCCCTCCCAAATGTCATGACGAGAAAAGACCGTTAGTTATATGCTAACAACATTGAAACTATGCGTCTGAAGAGAGAACAATATTTTCCTGTCAATTACAACTGTTTGCAATGTCGAAGGCGCTTTGATTGTTTTCTTTATGTAGAAACTACCACAAGGAGACCAACCACTACAATAAGACACACCACTACTACAAAACCAACAACAACAACAACAAAACCAGATTCTACAGGAAACCCAACCACCTCTAAGGAGCCTATTACAGAACAAACCTCAACAAAAGGGCAAATTCACCCRCTAACARGCCTTAAAGAATCAACAACGCGAGAATCAACTCCAACAACAAAAGTATTGGAGTCAACTAACAACACTGTGCCCGAACGGGACGCGTTAAAAGATGACAGCGAGGGGACTGGGAYGGCTATACTAATAGTGATACCKCTKGTCTGTTTTATACTGATCGTGGTCGTTGGTGTTGATATCTACTGTCGATGGAAGTATGTGTGTTGAGTAGTTCAGCCTTTCAATATATTCCTTGTTGAAAACGTCGAAATTTTACTAAAAATTCAATATTTTTACTTGTTATAGATTAAAATATCGCAAAAAAGGCAAGAATGATGATTACAGGTTSGTTGAATCTACTTTATTTTCTTTGATTTCCATGTTTTTGATTTATGATTTACTCACTAGGGGTGGGGGGGGGAGGGGCACTTACTATTGGGGGAGGGGTAAGGTATATTATCGTGCATAGTGATTTATATAAATATATGAATTTCATGATCTCATCGACAGAATTAATGACGAGTCAGTTGAGCAAGTCGCCGATAACCCGACTTATGGCAGGTTTGTGCAATTGGTTTTTACTTATCTTGTACGGCGCTGCGCTGATATCTTTCAGGGGGGGTCTTTCAGAAAAGATATGGTCGACAACTGAATAAAAAACATTAAGAGTTACTAATACAAACTCTTGCTATGGCGTAGTCTCACTAATCTTCTCACAAACTTAAATGAAATGCCGAGAGATGATATAGTTTTCAGTCTCCCTTCATCATAATCAGCAAAACCATCCTTTCGCGGTCTTATACTGAGGTGATATGTTATATCTATTCAACAGGCCCGATAATATMCCGCTGGCTTGTTTTAACGAAGGCTCAACACCCAATACAAGAGTTCAAACCAGAAATCAATACGAAGACACTGATAAAAGCTACGATCGATTGAGTCGCGTTCCACCCAAGCACGGAATACCAGAGCACTACCAGGGACTAAATACTTCATCACATCCCAGCACTCAAAATCGTACGTCCATACGAGATAATGAACCTGAAAATATGTACCAAGTTCTTGAGAGCCCCACTAGTTTAGGGCCTTYACCTGATGATGATGATATGTACCATACGATCGATGCTGGATCGTGTACCAATAATGTACTATATGAAAAGGCGATATTGTACGATAGGTAAGAACTCTATTAATCTTGTATAATGATTAATAAAAGTAGACAGTTCTTCAAGCGTCATRCAGTCAACTCTCGCCTTACGGACACCCCSCTACAACGRACAYCTCGATAATGCGGACAGTAAAATACTGAATCCCCGGCGAAAAATATAAAGAAGTGACTGAAAGTAACTTTCGTTACTACGGACTTGTCGCTAATGCGGACRCTAAATTACGGTCCCGAGGGTGTCCGCAATAGCGAGAGTTGACTGTATGATGCATGTTATCAAAGAAATATTCGAAAAGTAAACGATCTTCTGTTCTTTATGGAATTACTGCACGAGGGCAAGAAGAATGGTAAGAAGCACGAGGAGAAGCGGAGTGCTTCTATAGCCGCTGTCCACGTATAGCCTTTAAATGTTTAATTTTTTTTATAAATCTTAAAAACACTACTCCCGACTAGAGGAAACATTCGGAAAGTAAMCAGATTCATGTTGTGTTATAGAGAACGATTCTCGGCCAAAAAGAGCGGTTCGCTCCCGCCCCCAAGTGTGCTATAGAAAAAGTACAAAAGTTAGATCAGCTTTTTTATGAATTGTGTCTTGTATACTGGGTTTATATGAAGTGTATATTGAGCTTGAATTATRAATTAAAGCTGTTTTTCTTTTGTTTTGGTGTTTCAGTGTCGCATAACAGAAAATATGGAGAGCTTCAGTRTTCATTTAGTGTTGTTTCAACAAGATATATTGTCAGATTCAAGAAATTTGAAGACATTAAATCCATGATTTATAATGAACCTTTAATTGCTAAAAAAAGCAATAGTTTCGGGCAAAATAATGAAATAGACGATGTTTCTCTTTAATCTCTTCACTACCAGGCTTTACATGTGATGTTTGCAGTCGTGATCGATCTTATTTTGAAAAAAGAAAAGAATTTTTAATGTACTTTTCTATTTCTTCYTCAAGCGCTGAGCTGAAAATCACTATGTTGATTATTTATACAATGTCATGATTAAAAAGATACGTTTATTGACATAATGGATGATTCATCAGATCTTAAGTGGAAGGTAGTAGGGTGTGTTCCAAATTTCAAAACGACCACACGTGGTGCACGCAAATCGGCATACAAAGAGAAACTATAAAGAGCTAAATCTATCTGGCCATTAATTGTTCTAGCTACGGCCTAAGGATAGGAGTTTTCCAATTTAGTGTAAGCTTCCTAGCATTACAGCTGTATTATTATCAGTATCAGATATCTTGAGGAGCGATGCTAAACAAGCCGGTATATTCAACCATTATTATTGCTGTACTATTTTCACCATGGATGTCTTGTACTCCAAGTAAGTAGAGCTACATTTAGAATCGTTGTGATAGAGTGATCGCACTTAAACCATTCAGCTGTACCAACTAAATAGTGCTATTTARTTGTATTTAGTAAATCGTGCATGTGGTACGAAACTTAAATTGAATTGATACGAATGAAGCATTCAATACCGTCTTGCTTCAGGTCCACTTTTAGTACAAATTAGWACTACTTAGATTTTGTACAGTTGCAAGGTTTAAKTGCGATCACTCTGCTTGGTGAGTCTACATTGCATTATCTTGGGTTTGTACAACTTCATGTTGATGCAAATGAGTCAAAGTTACGCGTCTTATTCTGTTTCGATACATTGTTTCAGTTGGATTCTGTGTCTGACATGTTTTTGTATCTCAACATCATTTCTCAATAAATTCTTGTGGAAAAAACTTTGAACTAATCAGTACAGACATTAAATCGGTTTAAAAAATCGGTTTAATAATCACCGAGATATATCTAAATTAATATACAACTTATAGTTTAGAAAGAATATTTTATCTGGTATGCCGAGGACTTGTGATTCATATATGATCAGTCACGAGCTCATTATCTTTGAAACGGAAGTTTCAGTTTTCCGCTTTCATCTTTAGTGCTCTGTCGTTTTGATTGTCAGGGTCGAAAAATGAAAATAAACTTGTCTTGATTGAAAATCGATATCTAATTTTGGCTACTAGGGAAAAATGCGCTACGACAAGACGTCATATCTTACCATGTGCACATATTGACGCTGAATTCTATCCTTGCTTTTTTAAAAACGATTTAGCAAAGCTATACAAGCACGTTGGATGTTTTAAAGATTCAAGAAAGGCCAAACGAGCATTTCCTAAATATTTTGGGCAACGTCTTCCGAACAACACCGAAGTAGAAACTTGTGCTGCCTGGGCAAGTAATGCAGGTCAAACAGTATTCGCAGTTCAGTTCACCTACGAATGCTGGGTGTCTAAAACTGCAGACAGAAAGTACTTACGATATGGTCTAGCAACTAATTGTCGATTGGATGGCAAAGGAGGGGACTTAGCTATTGATGTCTATCAGTTTACAGGTATTAAGAAAGCTATTCTAATTCTGATGATGGTGATGATGATGTTTGTGATGATGATGATGATGGTGGTGATGATGATGATGATGATAATGATGATGATGATAATGATGATGGTGATGATGATAATGACGATGATGATGACAATGATGATGGTGATAATGATGATGATGATGATGATGATAATGATGATGGTGATAATGATGGTGATGATGATAATGACGATGATAATGATGATGATAATAACGATGATGATGACGATGGTGATAATGATGATGATAATAACGATGATAATGATGATGACGATGGTGATAATGATGATGATGATAATGATGATAATGATGATGGTGATAATGATGATGATGGTGATAATGATGATGATAATAACGATGATAATGATGATGACGATGGTGATGACGATGACGATGGTGATGATGATGATCTGATTAGCAGCAATTCAAGATAAATTCACAGAGAAATAAAATCCTTTGCTTTTTAGCTTGTGAAGAATGTAAAACCATTTAGTACTTCATCATCACAAAACTTCTGCATATTCACTTTACACAACGYGTTTCATTGTTCGATTTCAGATGAGSTTCTATGGCCAAAAGGAACATACTCCATCCTRAAGCCTTCAAATGGTTGTCCGTCACTTCTGATTGACAACGGCTGGTTATTACAATATACAGACGATGACATTACAAACGAGAGATCATCAATATTWRGTATCGATGGTTATGTGACAAAAGGATACGTTATCAGATCGTTTTGTACGAAAACAATAAGTTCTGTTGGCGGTGACTGGCCTACAGGTTTGCCTTTTAGTAATCAATTTTAGTAATCACGGCATTAATTCAC